GCGGAGCTGCCTCTTCTCCGCCTGCTGCTCCCTGGCCCACTGGGACGCCTCCTCGCGCTCGCGCCGCTTGTACTGCTCGATGTCCCTGTCCTCCTTGTCGAAGTCGGCGCCGGCCTCCTTCTCCATCCTCTTGATCTCGCGCTCGAGGTCACCCGTGCTCCGGCCCTCGCCCGCCTCCACCACCCGGCTCATGCGCATCAGGCCGTCGACCGTGCGGCTCTGCGCCTCTGCCTCGCGCTCCATGGAGGCGGCCACGCGGTCCAGCTTGAGCTCCTTGCCCACCTCCTGGCTCAGCTCGGCCTCCGCGTGGCGGTCCATTGCCTCCATCTGGCGCTTGGACAGGTTGCTGTGCAACTCCTCGGTGGCCTGCTCCGCCTCGCGGAGGGCCTTCACCGCCTTGGCCTCGGCTTCGGCCGCCTCGGAGCCGACCCACCCCACCTCGGAGTCGGCCCTCACCATCTGCTTCTCGGTCTGGCCCAGCCGCCTCGCATCGCTGGGATCCTGGCGCTCGACCCACAGTGCGCCGCAGACGGCGGTCGCGGCGACGGCCACCGTGGCGCGGAGCATTGCCATCGTATGGGTGCCGGCGGCAGACCGAGGCAGGAAAAGCACGATTGTCAGAAGTGCAAGACTTAATCCAAAGTGTCTTGAGCCAAGATTGCTACGGAGGAGGAGGTGGGGGTGGAGCGAGGAGCGAGGAGGAGAAACAGAAGGGGTCAAAGGGAAGAGGGGGAGGAGGAGAGAAACAGAAGGGGGGCAGTAGGGACGAGGGGGAGGCGGGAAAGTAGCAGGAAGGAGGGGGAGGAGAGGGAGCAGGAGGAGGAGGAGGAGGAGGAGGAGGAGGGCGAGGAGGAGGAGAAGGAGGAGGAGGAGGGCGAGGAGGAGGAGGAGAAGGAGGAGGAGGAGGAGGAGGAGGCGGAAGAGGAGGAGGCGGAGGAGGAAGAGGAGGAGGAGGAGGAGGAGGAGGAGCAGGAGGAGGAGCCTGGGACCCAGCTGGACTTCATGTGGGCTCTTTGCCCACAGATGCACACTTGGTCCACGCATGCAAGTTTCTGGTCCGTTATTCTAAGGAGTGGTGGCTTGCAACGGATGCAGACCTGTGACCGCCTGACAACCTCTCGCGCAAGGGTTTGCACGCCGCCTGTAGGTCCAGCCAGGCCCAGCTCGACAGCGAGGCTTCGCTTGGCTGGAGGAGAAGAGATACGAACCCCGTTGCTGATTCGATTATCTGGTCGTCTATTGCTGGCTGGGAGTGTATCAACCCAGCGGGGTTTCAGGCGCGGGATGGCCAGCAGCATTATGATTCGATGGTGTCTCCTAAGCTGGTGGGGGACAGACTCTTCCAGGACCTCAGGGACACGTTTCCAGATTCGATGGTACAACATATTTTGGAAAAAGTGCGAGGACAACGACAGGGCAATCAGGATCAGGCAGAAGGGCTTATGGTTAACTCCCCCTCAGCAGCTCATGCGGTCCTCCAACAACAGCTGCCTCGCCCAGCATCTGCTTCGGAGGGTGTTTCGCCGTGGGTGCACAGCGGAGGCCACGCTGCACACACGGGGGTACAAGCCGGAGCCTCTACGCCCCTGCTCTGGGGAGGTGGATAAGACGCACCACGGAGTTTGGAGGTGCCCATGCGGTGACACAGGCCGGGTGGATTGTGATGCCGAGACTCTTTTTTTCTTTTCCAGGGCATGCAGAACCACCATGGTTGGTCAAAACACTGTGGTGCAGGTCAGTGCAAACTCAATGGCTACGCAAAGTGTCAACGGTGCCACAGCCACACCGTTGGCCCATAGCATGCTAAGAGCCAAAGTATTGTGCCAACACTGCTTCGCGCAAACACTTGGGGTAAGGGCGAGGGGGGGGACCGAGACTCTGGGTTCTGGCGTGAATGCAGACGCGAACGACCCACTGCTATGCCACTTGTGGATCGGCCGTCTCTGTCTCACATATTCCCCTCCGGTGGATATTGGCATCGCGTACTTCGATGCAAACGTCGCCCCAATCCCCAAGTTCGTTTTCTCCTCCTCAGCTCTTGTCTTCATCGATGGGTGGTTATTTTTCCTCAGGAGGAGGACGTTGCCAGAGGAGGCTGGGCGGCGGTGGAGGTTACCGAAGAGCGGGCTATGATTCGCGGGTTTCGAGGGCCACGGCTGGCATGGCCGAGCACCAGGGGCTCCTGGAATGTGTGGTCCACCCAGAAGGCGAAGGTAACTCCGACCTGTATGCTGATTGTGCGGCTCTCCTGTCAGGTGCGAGCAATGTCAAGGCCTCGGCAGGTCCTCGCAGTCCTTTCGGCGGTCTGTGAAGAATTGTGACGAGGGCGTCAAGCGGCACCGACCACAAGTGGACCATCCACAAGGTCAAAGCTCATTTGCTGGATCACCGAGAGCATTAGAGTCGGCACGACCAGGCGCATTGGCTGAGTGAAGGTAACAGTGGGCAGATGAGGCTGCTAAATGGCTGCGCGGAGGAGGCACATGCAGGTGAGTTTGCA